GACAAAGGACAGCAAATTGATATTTTGATTACATATGCTTATACTTTTTCAGCCCTGTGCAATTTAGGCAACAGCTTCATTTTATAATGTTGTCATCCTTTCCATAAAGATAGCATTTACTTTAGGCTGGCCTATGAAATAGCAGCTACTCTATGCCCTTCATACTCAGTAAATATTAATTAAGGCGCTAAGGCCTGGAACTAGACAGGTTGTCTGTGTTTCTTTTTCTAAACCATATTTTTCTCATACCTAGATAGAGAGGGGAAGGTATAATGATATTAAATATTCAAACAAACCATTACCTTCTTTTTTGAAGTCCGGGAAAGTAATCTCAGGTTTGAGTAATAGAGTAATATCATTTTGTGTTTGATTTTAGGAATCAATGGGTGAGGGAGGGTATTGATATCAGGTAATGGAGATGGGAGTGGGAAAATTGAGGCAGTATCTGATATATCTTGTCTGCTCAGGTTAGAATAATTTAAGAGTCATATGTATTAAAAGCAAGTTTCCTTAAGGGAAAAAATGACAGCAAAGCATCAAATTAATTAGAATTGAAACTTCCAGCCTGCTAAGTGGTCACTTTACCTATACCTCTGTCCTTTGTGGCAGATGATACTTGCTTGTCAGGATGTCCCTGCACTCTCATCACTCTGGGCCGGGGTCCGGCAAGAGCAACTGAAGAAACTCTGACTCCACAGCCAGACTCCATCCCTCAGTGCATCCCTCCTGCTCCCTACCCCCACCGCAGGACACTGAAGCAGCATAGTCCATCCCTCCCATAGTCACTCTGGTCCTCTGTGGAACTACAGCCTTTCTCACTATTTAAAGCATAAGTGCTTGAGCTGGGCATGGGTGGCTCAGACCTGTAGCTAGCTACTCAGGAGCCTGAGATCTGAGAATGATGGTTGAAAGCCATCCTAAGCAGGAAAGTCCATGACTCTTACCTCCAATTAACCACTGAAATGCTTGAAGTGGAGCTGTGGCTCAAGTGGTAGAGCATTAACCTTGAGCAAAACTGTTCAGCAAAAATGCCCTGAGTTTAAGCCCCAGGACTGGTAAGAAAAGAGAAAAGAGGAGAGAAGAGGAGAGAAGGAGAGGGGAGGGGAGGGGAGGGAAGGAGAGGGGAGGGGAGGGAGAGGAAAAAAGAAAAGAGTGTGTGCTTGGTTCTAACTTTTAAAAATTCACAACAAATATGATGTTTATATTAATTTTATTTATAGGAGAAGAAACTGAGTTTCAGAAAAGCTGTAAGTTATCCCGCAGGGTCTATCTTTTCCAACCTAACTTGAGATGACTGAGGCTATGGGGAGATGTAAAGACAGGCTGGACTCAGGCATGGGTTTGAATCCTAAGATTTAGTTGTAGGATGTGCCTTTAGGCAAGTTATGAATCTTCTCAAAAAAACAATTTCCTTAAAAATGTAAGTGTAAAAGAATACTATCTCATATGAAAAAATAGAATTGTAAAATGGAGACAATCTCTACTTTAAACAATGTTTACTTTAAGAAGTTAAAGATGATCCTACTAAAGTGTAAATACAGTGCTTGAAATAGACTAAGCACCCCGTAGATGCAGGAATGCTAATATCAGCACAAGAGACAAAAAGGGACCACAGGAACATGAAAGAATGAACGAGACTAGAAGAGCATTGCTAAACTGCCATCGGAACATAAAAGTAGGCCAGACTTACTTGCTAAATCCCCAAAGGGTAACTGTTAAAAAGAAAGATGTATTTAAAATATGCTCTTAATTGAATAACCAAAATATCTAGAATATATCTGAAAAAAAAAGCAATTGTTCCTATGGAGAAACAATTTGGATGAGAAAAGTCAGCTGATTGAAGCCATGTCCAACATGAATCAGATGATGGAAATACCTGACCAGAGTTTTAAAACAACCATCACAAACTTCTTCAATAATTAATTACAAATTCTTTTAAGAAAATGGAAGCTATCAGTAGAAACTATTAAGATAGAAAAGAGGCTATACAATAAAATTAAATAGAAATAACAACTAAATTCAATAACCAGAACAAACTCACCAGAAGTAATCAATTCAGAATGGAGATGACGAAGGATAGGACTGGTAAATTCAAAGACAAATAAATAGAATTTATTCAGTCTACATAACAGATAACAATGAAATGAAACAAAAAATCAAAAATCTGTGGGAGAAACAAAAAACTCCTAACTTTTATATCGTCAGAGTCTCAAAAGAGTAAAAGTGGCACTAAAACAGTATTTCAAGAAAAAAAAAATGGTGCTTGCTTCAGCAGCACATATATTAAAATTGGAACAATACAGAGAAGATTAGCATGGCCACTGCACAAAGATGACACGCAAATTCGTGAAGTGTTCCATATTTTTAAGACTTGGAAAAAATTATATTAAGTGAAGTAAGCCAGGCCCAAAGAAACATAGGTCCCATGGTTTCCCTTATTTGCAATAACTAGTATATGTCTGAGACAAGCAGAAACGGTCAGATAAATTCATGTTAGGTGAAATGAACTCCAAGATAAGAACTCAAATTGTTTTTCTCTCTTGCTATTGTTTCTAACATATTTATAAGATGATTTTTTTTATTGCTTTGTATGTCCCTCCCCCACGATATAACCCCTGCTTTCACTGTATTTGATGTTGTTATAATTTAGGGAGGGAAGGGAAAAAACAAATTGCACCAATGAGAAGTACAAGACATTATGTCGAAAAACGAACTTTACAACTTTGGTGGGGGGGGGGGGAGGAGAATGGGGAGAGCAGGGATGGTAAGGGGAAACAAAGGAGGAGGCAACAATGCTTGATAAGAAATGTACTCATTATCTTACTCATGTAATTGTAACCCCTCTGTATGGTATTTTCACAATAAAAAAACTTATTAATAAAAAAGATGGCTCAAAACTTCCTAAAATTGATAAACAATGCATACCTACAGATTTGAAAAATGTACTAAATCCCATGTAAGAAATCCAAAAACATCCATGCCAAGACACATAAACTTCCCAATCTGAAAGCAGGAAAAACACTTTAAAACTAACAAGTGTGAGAATGACATATCACCTATTATAAAGGGATACAAACTTGAATATTAATAGCCTTTCCCAATGAATCCATAAAGGGTTCAATGGAAGAAACCCACCTCTCCACCTATGAAGTATAATCCTTTTCAAGTAATGAAAGACATGTCAATTTCAAACCCTACATTCAGTAAAACATTCATTCAGAAAAGAATAAGAACAGAATGATTTTTTAAAAATAGTTAACTTGATATATCACCTTTCGCTATACAAAAGTCTTTAATCCTATGTTAACTTGAAGCAAAAATTACAAAACAATCTAATGTGCTGTCTATGTTAATAAAAGGAATTGAAAAACAATTATATTTTAAAAGTAAGATAGTCAAGGGATATAAATAAAATACTATCTCTATACTTCACTTGGATCTGGTCAAATTCAACACCAGTAGATGTAATGTTTTGATTACATATGCATAGTGTGATAACTGGATCAATGACTAAGAAAACTGTATGAAGCATTGTAATCAAAACCATAAATGAGGGAATGAAGAAAGGAGGGAAGAAAGGATGGAAGGGAGGGAGGGAGGGAGGGAAAAAGGGAAGGAGAGAAGGAGAGAGATCTGAAAACTTAAAAGTAACCCCACAGTAAGGCAAGAAAAATGAGAAACAGCATAAGCAGAAAAATAAATGCAGAAAAAGAATACACAATTGACTTTTAGTAATTGTTAAAAATAATTATCAGCAATTCCTGTAAATGTACATAGCTAATGCTGGCAGAGTAAATTAAGAAAATATAGCCCAACTCTCTTCTTCAAGTTGCCCAAGAGTAAAACTCCTGTGTTGTCTGTGGTATATATACTCTTAGTTTTTAAGGAACTGCTGATTTAGTTTGAAGAATCACTGCATAATTACTCACTTCAAACATAGCTTAGTTAGGTTAAAATAAAAGGAGAGAGAGAGAGAGAGACATATATATATACATATATATGTATATATATATATCACATAAACATTAACTTTTAAGAAAAATACAAGACTGGCTATATAGATAGCAGTAAAAGCAGACTTCAGATGAAAGAAATTTACTAAGAACATTATATCATGATAATAAGAACAATGACAGTGTACCCAAAAGACAGAAATTCCAACAGACATTCAAGATCATGAAGTGAAACCAACATATCTGAGGAAAGTAATCAGCAATTTTCAGGCTTCAACACTACTGTGGGCAGCTGGTATAACTATACACCAGACAGAAAATCAGGAAAGGCTAATGGAATTTATCAAACATTTTACCCAACCACAGGAGAATATACTCTTTTCAAATGCCTATGGAACACTTGTTAAGAAAGGCAATTTTCTAGGACATGAAACAAACTGCAATGACTTTTAAAATCATACAAAGTATGATAACTACCACTACACCAAGTTATATGACTCAATCCTTGTCAAAAAATTCCATTTCTTCCCTTTTACTCCATTTCTCATCACTGGCATAACCATTAAAGTCCTACATATTTCTGTAATTCTGCTATTTCATATATGTTAAATAAAGGTAATTATATAGTATGTATCCATTTCAGGTAGTTGTTTGTGCTGTGGTTGTCATTTATTTGAAGACAGTTTCCCCTTGTTTTGCCAAGACTGGCCTTTAACTTCAGATTTCTAGCATTGGCATTGCCGGTATAAACCACCACACTCAACACTAGATTGTTTCGTTTTGTTTTTGTATTCAGCACAATTCTTTGAGGTCCATCCAAGTTGCTGCATTAAGGAACATTGTGTTTGGTTTTTTTTAAATTGTGATTAAATAGTATTCTATAACAGGAATATGCCACAGTACAATTCTTATTTTAGTTTGAAAAGAATGACTGATTGTCAGGAATGGCTGCAATTCTGTGAGTCAACCTGTTTTTCCACATCCTTGCCAACATTCGCTGTCTATCTTTTTATGGTGGCAGATAAAGATAGGCCATGAGAGCTCAAGGTGGGATTTTTGTTTGGTTTGATTTTTTGTTGTTTTTTGGTGAAAATGAAGATTGAACATAGCCAAGCACTCTACCATGTAAGACATATCCCAGTCTTATTTGCTTTGAATTTATTTCTCAGAGTCTTGAGCTTTTGCCTTGGTCAGCCTTAGAATGGAATCCTCCGACTTCCTCCTCTGCAGTAGCTGGAATTACACCATGAGGGCTCAATGTGTTTTGATTCACACTTCTACTAAAACCCAACGATAGTGACCATATTTTATGACCATATTTTTATTCTAATTTTTATTCTTTGATAAAAATTTTATTCATGTGTTGCTTTTTCAGTTCTGTGGAGGCTATTTTGTCTTGGGGGCTTGAGGGTTTTTTGGTGCCATTCTTGGGGCTTGAAATCAGGGGCTTGGCCCTGTTCCTGAGGTTGTTGGGTTTTGTTTTGTTTTGCTTTTGCTCAAGGCTAGTGCTCTCCTACCTGAGCCATAGCTCTATTTATGGCTTTTTTAGTACTTAATTGGAAACAAGAGTCTCATGGACTTTCCTGCTCTGGCTAACTTCAAACTGTGATCCTCAGATTTCAGCCTCCTAAAAAACAAGGATAACAGGCATTACCCACTAAAGCCCAGCTACTCATGTGTTTTTGCCAGTTTTTATTTGTTTTTCTTTGAGCTTTTGAAACTTTTTATATTATTTTATATTTTTTGTTGGATACATGATTTGAAAATACTTTCTCTCAGTCTGTAATCCATATTCAGCCACTTTTGGGTGTGCCTGAAAAACCAGAATCCTGCTCTTCAGACCTGTCTGATCATTTTCATAGGTACAAAAGATGAGAAACTTGGGAAAGAAGAAGAAATGTTAAAATCCCATCTACTGTTATCTAGATTCCACTAGATCTACTGTTGGCTCTAGTTTTCTTTTTCTATCTCTACTCTTTCCAGAAATTAAAACAGTAAAATTAGTGAATCTAGATGGGTAAAATGTGTAGAAATGATGCATAAAGATAGCTTATTGACAGGGTAACAGGCAGAACACATTCTCCACAGGTACCCAGACACTGATTGGTAAATAAGAATTCCCCCCAGACCATCCTGCCTAAGGATCACGTAGATACTCCTGAAAGAAATTACCTGAGACCACCATAAAAGTGCTGACATCGATACAGGTACATTTCCTGAGGAGCCAAACTGGCACCAAGTCTCCATAACCAATAAGTATAACCAGCAAAAAAAAGCCTTCAAATCAGTACACACTCAAGGGGGCAAGGATGAAGACAATTCCAATAACTTTTTGGCCCTAATGCCCAAGACCTCAATTCAAGATTACCCAGTCTCCACAGAGAATACCCAAGGTAAATCTAGTGGCCCACAACAAACCTGGGCATGTAGCATATGCATATCTGTTACATAAGCTCCAGTTGATCAGGGTTTTCACCAAAACAAAGCACCACCCAAACTCTACCCAACAAGACTCCCTCATAAGAGACAAGAATTAGTTCTGTCTAGTAGGCTGCAGCATTTCAGCTCCCCGGCTTGGAGTCCTTTCCCTTGACTATCTTTCACTGCTATGTGTCTGTATCTTGCTCTTTTCCTTCTTTGGGACAACCTTGTACCAACATACTTATGGAAGACACCATTCTTGACATTCTCCCCTGATAACACTAACATTTTTTTCAAGTACCTTGAAGATGGCTAAAAATAAACTGAGGTGCCACTCCAGGTTTTGTAGAACCCACGCAAGCTCACTCCCTGCCCAGCCTGCCTCCGTGCTCTCCCACAGAGCATTTGTGCTTTTAATGAACTTTTTCTATCATTTCACAGTTTTGTATCTTGCCTGAATTCATCTCTTGCTTCCATGTGATCCACCTTGCTGGAAATCTCACTGATGAGAATATGGAGAGTTATGAAGAGCTATTTTGAATATGAATGCAGTCCTCAAATGCCAGTCAGAAGTTCAATAACTGGGAAAGAAACAAAATTTCCTTTAAAAGAGATCTCCTTGATGGAAAAATATGATAAAGGCTGAGATAGATAAAGGCTGAAATAAAGCATGATGTGGATCTTTTACTGGCGAAAGCATTCGCCCTATTGGAACAGGTACTTAAAAGCTGACTTTGCTGAAAGTCCCTGACACCCACAAAGGAACAGGATAAAGAATAAGCATTCAAGGTTCCATTTTGTATTTGTATCATTTGGTCCTAGACATTTCTTTCTGGAAGTCATTTTGAAGCCATCTTGAAGTCCAGAAAGGACACCATAAGGGACAAAGACCAACTGACAGTTGTCAATGACCCTCAATGCTGAGGCCTCACCAGGTCAACCCATAGAAAATGAGCTTCCAGACCACCTGTGGACATACTGGGACTAGGACTGCATATGAATAACACCCATCTCTCCCTTCCCCCAACTCTTCCTTTTATTTAAACCTAAAGCAAATGTCTGTTTGGGGAAGATGGGTTGAGACTACCCTTCCTCTTTCTAAAACTGCCTCTGCTGTGTAATAAACCTCCTTTCCTTGTCCTTTATCATCACTCATCTTTTTTCCTCGGCATACTGGGGAGAGTAGCTAGATCTGATCTTAGGAACCCAGAAGTGTGAGTCTGTCTCCTACAATACTTCAACTCTACAGTTGTGGATTCATGTTCCAATGGAATCCCTAATACAATGTGGATTGGAAATACACGTGTTCCCACACAAGAAGCCATCAATCTATGCCTAGGCATATACATGGACTTGTTACTATCAAGGCGCAAACATAGAACTCGATGAGAGGTTTTTCCCAGTAAGGAAAATAGACCTGTACTGAAAATGACTTACATGCCTAGGATGTGTCATGCAAGACTAATATCTCATATGCTAGACTCTTATTGACTGGCTAGTCTGAATGGCCCAGAGCAAGTGATCTGAACTCCATCTTAAGCCTTAGTCTTCTTCTCTGTTGCAAATCAGCAATAGCACACATTTTTTGATTGCATACCAATCAAATTATTTTCCTTAGAGGAACACGAATGAGGGGTTTAAATAGTTGCTACAGATGTTCCATTACGGCAGCCAATCCAAAATAATCCTCTAGACAAACAAGAATCAAAAGCACCCCCAAAGATAATGGCTTTCTCCAAAAAATATTCCATTCCAAGGAAATGGATATGTGAAAATAAATTGAAAAACAAATATGTACAATTTGCAGAGGGAACAAAACTACCCTTGTCAAGTGCACACACATGCATGCGGGTACACTCACACACACACACACACAGTACTGTTTGTGAGTTTGGACGTTTTTTTACATCCTACATGTGGATTTTTACTCTAAATTTTGGATTCAATATCCTGGAAGTGACCTTCCAGAGAAAGCCACTGCTGCCGCCACAATCAGATGGGGAATCAAGACTGTGGTATAGGGACAGCAAAGCTGCACACATAGTGATGTGCTTTAAACTGTATCAAAAGACCAACATGACCAAAAATTGGATGTCCCACATTAGCATCAGGTCAACTATGCAAGTGAAACTGGGTTTTGAGATCTCAGATCTGAACACTATGAGCTTAATATGTCAAGTCCATCTCCTTTTCCCCTTCCCTATATAATAAATAAAGTGATACAGTGAAGAGAAGAGGAAGGAAGTATATTACATGGGAATACAGTACATCTACCAACAATCTTAAGGGTACAGATATTTACCTTAACTTTAAATAGAAAAGGAACTTAGGGAAGGGAGTGAAAAAATATGCATAATTAAAACAGTCCCAAGTCATAACTATTGTCTGATGATCATTATTTCAGTCTTCATAGAGGGTTCTAGAGAAGTTCTCATCACTTGAAGGGAGTAGAAACAAGTCAGTCATTCTTGCCTGGCAAATATAGATTGTTTGTAGCTTTTGGCTGCTCTCTTCCTTTGGAACAGTTTTTCCTTTTTCTACAAGATGATAAGAAGTTGGTATTGCCTGTCTGAGGCACAGTTTATCTTTTGTGACAAGGTTCTTATAGGTAAATCCTGTCTTTCCTAGAGCCTAAGATGATTACAAAATGACCACAGGAAGGAATGGCTTAGATGAAAGCATAGAGGTACCTAGCCTTTATTCTGCTTTTAGTTAATTCATAGGCCTAGCAAAAGCAACTTTTAAGTTGCCTCTTACATAACCATATGTGTTTTAGTACCATATAGTGTGATAGGGCTTATCAAACCTCACCACCTTAGCCTCTGTAACTCCATTTTGTTTTTGTAACTCTATATTAAAGGAAAGACTGCATCTCCACCTGTCACACTAGTTCCTTATAGTTTGACATTTAAAGATATATGTAGCCACTGTTCCACTTATATTCCTAGGTAATGATCATAGAGATAATCATAGAAATGCTTACAGCATTGACGATTATGCTTCTGTAACTTCTCATTTGGTTTGCATCTGCAGGAAAGAACCATTAGGGACTTTTCATCCTTGAGCAAACAGGGATGTGGGTTTTCTGCTTTAAAAGGGGCCCTGAGAACAGGCTTGGGACAGTACTTTTTGTCATCCAACTGTCCAGTGTAGTCCCAACCAGTAATAAAGACTTACTTTTGGCTGTACTCTATGTGTGGTGTCTCATGGTAGTCTTCCCCACAGCAACACAAAATACAAACATCTCCAGATCATACCTGTCAGCAACAAAAGATGAGGTAGCAAAGGTACCCATAGCTTTATTCAGCTTCTCAGTGCTCAAGAAGGATGTGAAGTTGTGATTGTCCAACATTTGGATCCTGTCTTCCTCTGCAAGATGTGTCTCACAAAGAGGAAGACAGAGAGAATGGACTTCTGCTCTGCAGTGGCTAATCCCTAGTATCCTCTACACTCACTGAAACAGGGTTTTTAGAACTCAGGCCCCCAATCCAAGAATTGCACGTTATTTCTGTCCATCACCTCCATATGTCAAATAAAGAGACATGGCGAGGGAAGGAGAAAGGATATTTATTATATGCCTGCTATTGGAAAATAGAATTTCCAATCTTTAGCTGTCTTCAGGGGTACAGATATTTGCCTCAC